GAGGTTTGTATGCCTACTTCTGTGAAAGGTTTGACAAATTCATTGTTTTTGCTTGTGTTTCCTTTGTTCTCTTAGTTGCCTTTCGTTTTCTGCCATTTGTTTGTGATGATGCAAGTGTCGAGGTTATTGTAGTCCCTGTTCTTGATATAGCTGACTATGCCCTCTTCACAAATCTTCAGTGGGGTGTTCGTTTGAGTGATTCATGTCCACCTCGTTTAGTTCCTTGACAACAGTCCAGATCTCGTTTGCCCGACAGTGGTTCAGACAGAAGATGCCATAGCATTTCCAAAAGCAGTCCTCCAGCATGAACCCTTTCCAAGTCCACTTTGTGGGTACGGGATGCGGACCGGTCATCGCCTACCCATCACCAGCACCGCAGCTCGCTGCTAGAGCGTGCCACTAAATTGCTGGAGTGTTCTTTTTGGGGGTTTGAGACGTATATGAACTCACGCTTGCAAGCGTGAAGTAGAAGCCTGTTGCTTTCTGCAGGAGCAGTTGTACCAGTTTTACACTGATGCAAATCGTCACGTGGCAATTTTGTGTGCCTGCCTAAGTTGGCCCAAACAATAACAATGCAACAAATCACTAGACATTTTCAACCTATCCTGAGGCAACCACCAGAAGGCTGAGTCCAAGACGCATGCTCAATCTATGGTAAAGATGCGGAGCATAGCGAAAGATATAGAAAAGAGCTACAAGGACTTGAAGAAGCATATGCTAGCACTTCAAGCTGGCAAGCCTATCAAGGACGCAATAGACTGTTGCCTTTAAGCATGAGCAAAGACGAGTGTAGCGCCAAGTTCTCTGATTGATGTGAAGGACAGTGCTGCGTCGAAGCTGCCAAAAGATATTCCATCTACTCAAAAGACACTTGTCGAGCGCAGAGTGGCCAGTGGTCAACATAGGACAGCCTTGCAACAATCACCCTGAAGATCCAATAGATGGAAGCTGCTGGCTTCTTATGTTTTTCACTTTGGTTCAGCAGGTGTTGAGTGGTGGTGGGTGACAGAATGCGACTGGCTTTGCTGTAAGGAAAATGGCCGAAGTGAAGTTTCGCCTTCAGAAGCAGAGAACTGCAATCGATACCAAAGAGGCAAATAAGACAGTTTCATTGGGAACATCAAAAGTGAACTACATGGATCCCAGAATTACAGTCGCATGGTGCAAGAAGGTGTCTTGGCACAATCAGAGGTGGCTGAAACCTGTCCGAGATTCAGTGGGGCATAATAACCTTTGGCTTTCGAGCCTTGCTGCAATCCTCGATGCCTTCGCAAACCAGTGATGCTGCGAGAGTGGAATGCAGGCAAGGCTCTCTGAAAGGGCTGAAGATGTCAAAAGTTGACGCGAGCATCTCCAGCGCCATCAGCCCTCAAGAACCGCCCACAATCGCAAAGGAAGGTGTGCAAAATCCTTCAGGAGAGGCGGCGCCCCCTACAGCGCACATTAAAATTGATGACGCACACACTGTATGAACAATTCAAGGTTTTAAGCCCTGGCAAAGACGGCAGAAACGCTTCAACTTCAACTCCTTCCATTTGTGGCTGTCGTTGATTTTGCCCCACACGCAGAGTCAGACTTGGAACCTTTGGGATGCAGGCAAGAACAACATTGCGTGCAAAATGTTTGGAACTCCTTCCAAACCCATCACAATCGTCGGGTATATGAATGCCACGGCTCATGACTAAGATTCTTGCCGCCTGCTGATTCAATCTTAAGTTCTTGGGGACTGTGCTAGGATCCATTTGTACATCTTGGGCAAGATCAACATATGCTGCAACGGATCCGTCTCTGCAAGGCGCACGCCAGTAACACAAATACGCCAGTTTCAGCTGCAAATGGGTTCCAAATACGCTCCCAGGCTTGGTCGTGTCTCAACTTTTGCATCATGGAACCCCAGTACACACCTGTTAAAAAAACAAATATATCTGAATACAATGTTCCTGAGGAACCTCGCGTGTATTTTGCCACCACCAATCGGCAGTATGTTGGTACTGGCCATGCTGGCCGCTTCTTCGACTTGCTATGGCTGGCTTTTGTCGCCCCGGTAACAGCCGTTCGTATCCACAAAGAACTGAACCTGGCTCAGCCAACGTGAGAACCCTTGTGCATGTCAGAACACTTTGTTTCCGTTCAGAAAGTTTGCGTGCGCATTGATTACTGTATATAATGTGGCTTGCGGGAGGCCGGATGATCCCCATACAAAAATTAGGGCACGGGGTCGTTAGTGACGCGGGGAATTCCATTTGTCTTGAGACTCTCGTATTCAACAGGAAGGTGCTCATTTCCAGAGCGAACGTCGTCGTCAATTAAAAACAGTCTCATCATTTCCAACACCGAATTAGCAGCGACATCTCTGTTGGTGAGAACACAGAGCATGGAATGAGCATGCGCGAATCCTTCCTATGAACACATTATTGCAAATGATATAACAGTTGGATCACGGTACATGCGTGTGTAAAAAGCCGCTCATTCGCCCTCACTCACTCGCTCTTGTGGGACCAGTTGGGCTGGTAAGCCTAGATCCAGGGACAAAAGAACTTAGCGCTGCCACTGAGGGGGATTTTGACTTCACCCCGCCACATGCTTCATCCACGCAAACATCAAAAGTTCGTAGGTTCGCAGATCATTCCCGTGAAAGTTCATCTGGGCTCGCAGACCATCCAAGTGCTACATCATCTTCCTCTGAAATCAGCTAAAAGAAAAATCATACCCCCACCCCCACCACCACCGCACCCCATGTCTCGTCCAACACCATCTTCGTTTCCAATGAACCTGTTGTGCAGTTCCAGACTATCTTCTAACACCGATGACAACAAAAGTGCGCGCAAAACCTTACACGGCTGCCAAAAATCTACTTTGCAGAGTTAACGCTCTCCTCAGTGGCCCTGCGGGTGCTACGAAATGCTGCAACTACCACACGGAATTAAAACAAATTGGACTTTCACCATCGCGTCGCTATTGACCCCGCGAGCAAAAAGTTAGTGCCAGCGCCAGCTCCGCTAGGTGTCATAGATGGCTGTGAGGTTTTTCTAAGTTGCATACGTCGTCAACCTTTAGCCTGGCTGGGTGTCTGACATTTTCTGGAAATGGTGTGGTTCACGAAAGGTAGCTTCAACTACCTACCTGGTTCTCCCTGCTTTAGCAAACATGTATTACAATCTGGAGTTGGGATTGTGCATTGAGTTTGGCCCTATTTTTGGATCAAATCCCCCCTGCGCCGTCGCGGTTTGGGTGCAAATTTTGTCGCGGTTTAGGTGCAAATCTTGTTTTGTCCAGAGCAGCGGCAAAAAAGGAGTAAAACAGGCAACAACGAGCAGCGCAAGCACGCAGCGAACAAGCAGCAGGAGAAAAGACACCGTAATAAGCAAACACACGCCTCTCATATCAACCAGTGCTGCAATGCTGTTGGGACAACAACATGCATGTGCCAGCTCCTTGCTTGCAGAATCGAAGGGAGGCCGGTAGCTTTCGCCCAACACGGTCGCCTCAAGAATGTAGTATCAGGGAAGAATGTCAGAATGTCATTGAATGCAGCACTTTTATCACATTTTTTGTTTGCTATGTACACTTTGCAAGATCCCGCGCAATGTCCAATTCAGTCAAAAGCACTCGTGCCTCTCGAGACTTGGACTCACCCCTTGCGATCCTCTCTCCTTTCCCCTCCCGCCCATTTGCTACCTTACGTTCACCCCCTTCTATCTCAAGTGATGAGCATGGGCGTTTCGCTACAATGTAGCACCCCCGAACTATCTCGTTCTTGAAGTTTTTGGCAGCTAGACGAACGTGTGTGTGCCAGCGATTTCGCCGCTCTACGCCACTTCACTCAACTTGAAGCGGTGTGAAGTGATGCGAAGTGATACTAACTGACTATTAAGGTTGTGACACTTGGAGTGGCATGAAGTGGCATGCATGCTCGCTAGATTAGGTAGATGAGAAAGGTACGGTTAGATTTGGCTAGACAGATTAAGTGGGATAGGAAACATATTTAGATGAGATACATCAGATAGAACAGACAGATGGAAGAGAATGCAATAGATTATATAGATAGGCTAGGTCGGTGAGATAGGCTAGATTGGTTAGGGAGGTTTCAGCGACTAGATAGACAAGATAAATCAGATAGATAGGATAGATTGGGACAAATTGGGCAAATGAGAGAACTTTGAATGATTAGATCAATGAGGTGGGGGTTGGTATTGGGGACCATGTCTTGCGGACGAGTATGGTGACAGTGTGCTGGGGGACGGTGTTATCTTAATGCACGCAACTTGACTATTGGAGGTTCGGTTTTGAGAACCATGTCGGACAGATAGAATCAGATAGAATCAACCTGGAGCAGCTCAGCAAAGCGGTTGACAAACACCGCGAAATTTGGAAATGTCGTTTGCCTTCGGCCCGCTTGCAGAGGGCCGGATGCCCCAGGGTTTCTCAAGTGGTTGGAATGTCAGCGCCTCAACAGCCGACTGTAGCTCTATAGCCTATACTATAGCCATTTAGAACTTTGGAAGTTAATTAGTAGAGTGGGTGCCTCCTCAGGTGGATCTCGCCATTGAGAAGGTCTTTCCAAAGCAAATCCGCACAAAATTTCCTTGGGCGATGCATTTTCCATCTTCTTACTGCTTCGAATGAGCGACTGAAGCTTGGGGCATCGAAACATGGGAAGCTAGTTTGCCCTTCAAAACATGTGTAGCTTAGTAGCTGAAACATCGTTTGTGTTTTGTTTCACCCACTTGCTCCAAGCCCTTGCGGCAAGTATGTGAAAGCAGAAAGCTGCGGTAGACAGGACTCATGAGACTATGGTCTCGACTTTAGAAGAGCTCACTACCTGAGCTCTGTGGCTTGTGGGGCGGGGTAGCACAAAGCATTGAACAGAGGCTGCTTGGAGTGCCTGCGCATTGCTTGTGCAAAAAGAGGATTTCGGGAAGCCTGAGGTCTGACACAGCACACGTCCAACAGGAAGCCTGAGAAGCTGTCTTTCATTTGTATCAATTTGCATCCTTGAGGTGACAACATGAGCAACAGCAGCAACGCAAGCTTCGAGGAGCAGCTAGATGAAGATCTTGACCAGCAGCTTCTGAATGTCACGGTCATAGCCCTGGAGACCAAGCCATCAGTGCTCAGAGTCCAGAATTCCGTGTTCTCTGAGTTTTCCAGAACCACTTTTGCCAGCGGGCTGAGGCTGTTTGTCACTCTGATGCTTTGCCCGGGCCTCGACCTGTAGAGTGGTTTCTGTTGAGATGAGAAGGGATATTCCTGTGCATTGAAGTTTCCGAGGTTCAACTTGGATCTCGGCAATTTCTCGATTGCCGGTCCAACCTCCTTGGAGGCAGCCCCGTCGTTGGCAGTTTTCTTGATTCTTGAGCTGTAAGCGTGTACTATCCTGAGTTCAGTTACTAGTAGCTTACTTGTAGGTACTAGTGACACCCTAGCTACTACTAGCTACCTTCCCCTCCCCCACTTAAAAAACAAAAAACATACACACACACATATATATATATATGTATATCTGCAGATAGATAGACACCAGATAGCAAAAAAACATCTGTGGGCAGCGCCCTGCAGCCGCACTCCGCAGGGCTACTCTGCAGCACCCTGCAGCGGCACCAGCACCCAAACTGCCAATGGCCCAAGCGCACACAGCAGCGCGCCCTGCAGCAGCACCAGCACCCACGCTCGAAAATGCACACATGCAGCTCTTCCTATACTTGTAGTAGATAAAACAAAAGTCGAGAAAGAGAGACCTTGTGTTCTTCTTCAGGTGCTTGGAGCTGAAGGCTTCGATCGGCGTAAAGTTCGCGTGGGAAACTGAAGAGTCGAGTGGTGTTGGGGTCAGCAACCGTAGCAACCAATGCCGGCCCAAAAGCCGAGTCACCCTCATTGACAAGATGAACGACGATAAACAATTTGGACGGCTTTCACTCACTACAGATCACTTCACCAGATTGCATTGGATGACCATTGGTCATCACAGGTTGCCAATAACTCTAAATTGGCAGCCACTTTGGGCGATATGAACTCTAGTTCCTTGTGAAAACATCCAGCTCGATTGTTCGTGGAGACCACCTAGGTTGGAGTTAATTTTTCTCTGACAGCAGGTGGCTTAGGCTTGGGTCGTCACTTTGGTCATGTCAGTCCCTTTTGTGATGCTCTTCAGAGGTTTGAGCTTCACAAACATGAGGTCCATGGCTTTGGTTTGGGAGATGGAGTTTCTCAAAGACTTCGATTGGTCGGGTTTTCAACATGCTGCAGTGATTCCTTTGCAGTATTTCTTTGTGCCACCGAGTAGTAAGCTCGAGCGCGTTCCAAGCCAAGGTCCTCGCACCTTTGCGCTGCGGCCAAGCGGGGTGGTGACCTTGGGCCTGCGAATTATGATGGCTAAAGGTTAACGCCTTGCTTGGCTCGAGGACAGTCAATGGTACGCAACATCTTCGGGGCCAATTGGCAGAGGAGACCCAAGTTGCAGCTTTGTGTGATGGCATGGTAAGGCTTTCGGCACACAAACCTCACGAAGGACCCTGAATCACCTGGGAGCGGCTCAGACCCCAACTCGGCACAGACGTCTGGAACTCAAGGGTCACAAGTCACAAGCCTTCAATTGGCCGTTTCTTGATGCCTCATTTGCTCAGTTGGGGGCCCTTGCTTCTGTCACGAAGTGGTCTTTACTATGTTTGCCTGTGCTCTGGACGAGGCCGATCAGGTTCGCCTTTTACTGTATATTAAAACAAATTTGGTTTGTGTTGAGCTTCTTTAGAGATGCGAGATGCTTTTCCGACCGGGAGTTAGGCTACTTCGAAGGAGGATTGAAACTAAGACATGCCATGGGATTTCGTGCTGGTCCGGAAGCTGTTTCGTCAAAGGCTCAGAGAGGGCATCCAGGTTCCAACATATTTCCCCAGATTGTAGCGAGAGCTATTGGGCCTCTTACTGGTTCAATTATTTGTGCCCTGCAGGGTGTTGCTGACAGATGTCGTTTATGGCAGTGTTTGCTTCGAGCCTGGGTGCTGGTGCCGCTGCAGTGCGCTACCCACATTTTGTTTTGCTACCTGGACCTATGCTAGCGCATCCGGTTGTGTGGAGGTCACGAAAGCTAGCACCAGCTAGCTGGAGTTGTCCTTGCTTTAGCAAGTGAGGGGCTGGAATCCTCGAGAACGCCGCATCACGTGAAAACTTCATATGTAGAGGGCCCCCCCCCCCAGGGTTCAACTCCCCCCTGGGACGCCTCTGGGACACCTCTTGGACACGTCTTGGACACCTCTTACGGAATCCACGATGCAACAGATTCAACAGAATCACAAGCTAAGGTTGGCCGTGTCATTGCTGTTCGTGTGTCTTACATGTTCGCAACGTTTTACCTCATGAGCGAGACCTTGTGAACCATCCCTCCAACAGCCCCATGCCTATGAAAAAAGATTTGCCTCACTCCGCTTGATGTCCCACCAGTCCTTTGTCACTGGACGGCGCTGTATGCTTTGCTTCCACTGACACGGATGCATCCCTGCTAGCTTTCGTCACCTACCCTCGGCCTCAAGTTGTTTATAGCTTGGCGCTTTCTGTGGAGGGTTGGAAAGGTCTTGATTGGTTGGGGTGCCTCAACTTGGACATGAAGCATTCAATAGCTTGAGGGAAGGTAGCAGAAAGGGGCTTGGTGCCTCGGATGCCACAATGAAAAGGTTGCAAGGAGTAGAGTTCTGCAATGGTTGGCGGCTGAGGGGTTTGTGTTTGGGAGTGGCCGAGCAGCTGGTACCAAGCAGCATTTCACCTTTTTGGTTGTGGGCAGGGAGGCAGTGCGGCCAAGATATCGACTACCAGGTAGAGGTTGGCCTGGATCACAACTATTGCGGGCTTTGCGCGCCACGTGTGAGAACAGATATCAAAAGGGGGTGTGGATTATGAAAGCCACGTCAAAGCTGAACTGAGGCAGCGTTGAGGCGTTCTGGCCTGACTTGCGTTGTGCCCTCAACGCCTCAAGACTGGAAATGCCCGCAACCTACGCACAGTTTGCCATGAGGCTTGGCTTCAGGCGGCTTCGAGTGGCCGCCTCAAAATCCTGCAATTGTACAGTAGATTGTGAGATATTTGCCTCCTGCCACATTCCCAGGCTCAGAGTCCTTCCTCATGTTGTTTTCGCAATGGATTTGGTGGCTTGAACCTCAAACTCTCACAACGAGCCACTGCTCACATTTCCTTTTCCGAGGGCCCTGAGCTGTCAGTTTATGATCGCGCGCAGCCCCCAAACTTCCGGACATGCACAATCGCTTTGAGCCGGCCAGTCACCTGCTTTACCATTGCCAGGTGAGGATCATTGACTACAGCGGTGAATGTGGGCAGCCTGGGACCAGCACCTAGCGATGGTCTTGCCCAATTTGTCTTCAGTTCCTTGCTTTTGCGCTGATTTTCCGCTTTAATGTTTTAAGGTCCGAAGTGCACACTCCGAAGCTGCGCAGAACTTATCACGAAAGCGATCTCCGAAGGAGGTCAGCTGAAGTTCTAGTTTACGATTAGATGGGTCAAAATCGAAGGGATCAATTGAAAAATCACTACAAACGGCCCCCCTCCCAGCCCCCCCACTTCGTGTGAAGTGAACCAATAGATCCCCCGCCTCCCCCCCCTTAACGACTTGAAGCGGTATTGATTAAGGCCCCCCCCCCAAAGGGACACGACATCACAAACATCATCTCAGGGGATTATTTCAAAGGTGTTTTCACGATCGTCGTGTCGTCGTCATCGCTTTAGTTCCCCGCCTCTCAAGTATATGTTTTACTTTGTCTGAGAAAGCGTGGCAATATAGTGGGGCCGAGAGTCCTTGAAGTAGGTTACCTGGTGTGCTGATCGCATAGACAGCCCACTTGGGGTGCCAATCAAGGTTGGTACTCCTCGTCCATGCGCACGCACGCAGACATATATTATATAATATAGGATAATATAGGTACATGTGTTTGTATATTACGTTATATATCTCTGGACCAGACGATACAAATCCAGAAATGACATGACCCATTTTTCCACGCTGCCCAAAAGCAAGCAACAAGGATTATGTCATCTTTCGTAGATATTCTTTCACATGGCTCGTGGACGGTTTCGGACACCGTACATACATTATCATACATTGACCTGGTGAGTGATGTGATGTCCCGGGTTGTGGTGTGGTGTGTGGCGATTTGTGATGTGGCAAGTGCAAATTAATGATGCGATGTGGTGTCTACTCTCCCTCTCTCTATATGTGCACACAGTATATGTATATATATATATATCACCGAGCGGACTGGAGTTCACGCGTGAGACGCGTCCAGTGTTGTACCGGGCGCACAGACCCGGGTACCTGAGTTGACCCCGAAAACATGCAGGTGAAAAGCACCGACCTAGAGCAAACAAAAATTCCATGACGCCAGCGTTCTGCCCGCACCAGCCGCGAAAACGCATCCAAGGTGGTGTAGGCAGTCATTTGTAGCACAGAGAGCGGCACCCCGGATGGCTCCCTGAGGCATCGTACGTCCGGCAGCCTTTGCAAGAGCAGGATCAAGCTGTCCCGGAAAGATTTGAACGTCCTCCATTTTACTCAGGAGCGCCACAGCACTGCGCAGTTTCTTGTGGTAAGAAAAATACGCTGCAAGCTCTGGGTCCTCATCAAAACGTCGTCTTTGGCTGCAAAAAGAAACCGTGAGCTCACACAATGATGTAACGCCGTCATCATCCGCCCTCCATCTCAGGCTTTGTAGAAAACAGCAAATAGACTCCCACTCCCGCGTTGAGCCATCCCATTTGGGCGGTTTGACAAGCCCAGTAGGAATCTTAACTTTCCAGGGATAATTGCCTTTGTTGGCGTTCCACGCCCATTGAGGGAACTTAGTTCTGCAGCTCTCAAGAGTGAGAGAGGATTCGGTGGCTTGTTCAGGAACCGGTTTAATGCCATCATCAGTGGGCAGTAGAGCATGCAGTTTGGCCAGCCATGCATGATGCTGAAGGATGTAGCCAGCTGCAGCGTGCTGAACGGCAGGTTCAACCGGGGAAAGGGTGGCAGCAAATTCTTTGGCAACACTGTCAACCAGCCTATTTCTCTGAATATGCTTGACAGTTGTGCCACGGCGAATAGCCATGTCCTCAGTTATAGCATCGATTGGCAGGTGTTCAAAGCAATGGGCTGGTATCCAGGAAACTTCGAAGGGCTGTTCATGAAGAGTTCGCCTGTCGTGCCACATCTGCGCAAGGCAGGGCCACCAATCTTGACATAGCCAAGAGGAGCCAACGCACCCACCCATTCGAAAAAAGGGCCTTTGCATGCCCAACCACACTCTGACAATCGCGGTAAATATGCACACGAAAAGGAAAAGGTGTAAGGAGACAGGCTTGGACCAATCCCCACAGCTCAGCCGTATAGGAGCTGAGGCAAAGATGGTTCACAGCACCTTTGGTGCACACTTCCATGGAATCATTGACGATGGCGTAGGTGGCTGTGACCAGCCAATACCGATCACTCCATAACACAGAGCCGTCTCTCCTAAGCTCAACAGCAAAGTCAGGATTGAATGGGAAGGCAGGCTCTCTCGGTACCGACATCATGAGTCTGCGACGCGCGAGAAACCAGGGATGTGGAATGATGCCCAGGAGGCAAAAGTTTACCCCAAGCTCATGCTCAATGGGTTTGCCAATTTGTTGGTGAAGGACATGACACTCATGCACGAGATGGTGCAGGCTCTCCTTAGTACAGTGGCAAAACCGGCATTGACTGGAATTGACCCAACCTGCAGCTGCAAGTCTGTCTCTGGTGAGGGCACACCCAACCACAACAGAGTGGAATCTCATCTGAGCAGAAACTTTATGGTTGGTTTCTTTGGGTTGCTTTCTCAAAAGGAATGTGGTCGCTCTATGATCAAGCAACCCTTGCGGTTCAACTAAATCTTTCCTAGTACGATAGTCCACCAGTTGATATGCAGCCTGACGTGCAAGCATCTTACGGAAAGGTCGGACTTCCCTTGGTTGCAAGGAGGTGAAGGGAATCCCACGTGACCCTCGAAAAGAGAACGTAAGATCAGGCCCTACCTCAAGTCCCAAACAGAGACACGCATGCTGAAGCCTGCTCCACAGGGAATGAGGTTGATTTGCAACGCAATCTTATCAGTGGCAGCAAGCGAGGTGATTGCTGACAACATCTAACAAACTCCAGTATTGTGCAAACCGCACAGGCAAAAATCGGGTCAGTCCGATGAGGTTGTCCATGGATCGCTTGGACAGGCCATTTAGCTCTCCATTTGGGTTTGTTGGTCCACAAAGCACGAATAACTGCATTTTGGACTTGGCTGACATCCTTCTTGGGGATTTGCGAGATGTGAGCTCCAAAAGACAGTCTGGCAATAGCTTTAGACCGAACAGGGGATGTTCAAAGCACCAATGTGGTTAATATCGGAGATGATGCCTTTCAACTTGCCAGGATCAAAACCAAAACCCTTACGTTTACTTGTGTACATTTTGGTACCAAGGACTTCAATTTCAAGCTCAACAGGAAATTCAAGGAAAACACGGCGCAGGTCTTTGCGGCCAGACTGATGAGAGGACCACATCGAAGATTTGGCAGTATTAAAGACCTGGCCAACCAGCTGATCCCATAATTTTGTGATCTGGATTGCTTTTCGAGGAGTGAGACATGAATGAGCTGACACCACAAATATGAGTCATCAACGAAGGCCCGAGCGGCAATTTCAGGCAAGTGCTCAAGTAGATGAAACCAGACCTTGTTGTAAGAATTCGCGGCCAGCAGGGACAAGCTGCAACCTTGCGCCACCCCATTCGCTGCAGTGGTAGCTACCGACTTGATCCATCCCCTGTATGCAAGGTGACGATGCAATCCTTGGTATATCTTGAGGAAAAAGTTGACGAAATGCTTGGGGGCTCCAAAGGCTAAGAGCAGCGCACCCACAACATTGGGGATGACGCGATCAAAGGCTTTGGACTTATCCAGTTTAACTCCAATCATCGGGGAATTTGGGGCTTGTGATACATCCATTTCGAGACGAACCTCATTGTAGAGGGAAGCCATATATAATCGCGGACCCCACCCAAAATGGCCGCTGGGAGGATCTGTATTTGCCAATCTTTGCCTATATCTACTGCCTGTGTAGGCAAGTAGAAGAGCAGGGAGTACTGTGATTAACCATTAAGTGCAGAGGAAGGCCCTTTCTTATTCAAAATGCGCTGCTTTGCGCACACAAGTGCATTCGGCAAAGGTTGATCAGAGAACTCAATGTGAGTGAAAAAAGCAGCAATTGGCTCAAAACAAGGTGCAGGGAGGGCTTGCAACTCAATTGTGCGCCAACCGTCCATGCCCGGCGCCGCCAGGAGCTTGCGCCGGTGGATGGTATCGAAAAGCTGCTTCCCTTCAATGGGAGGTAAATCGAGCGGCGCAGTCTGGTTTTGGATCTGCGGCCAGACAGTTTGCAACACTGACAAAGGGTGACAACTTGTGGCATTAGCAGAAAAAATTCGTCCCAAGCACTATTGATTTGATCAAGCGCAGCTTCCGGTTGGTAAATTACAGTACGTTGGACTGTTCATCAAGGACAAGATTAGGAGGTTCATCCTGATCCCTATTCCGGAGATGGTGGAAAATGAACCTACAGTCACCTTGTGCGGATTGCTTGATTCGTTCTTTCCATCTTTTGATGCGCTGCAGCTTGAGCTGTGTATCGAGCATTGAGGCTGCGGATTCGGCCCATCGGCGAGCCCAGTAGACCTCAACCAGGTCAGGTGAAACAGGGTTCTGCCATGTGATCGGAGCTTCATGCGTACGAAGGCCCCAGTATGCCCTTGCAGCGGAACATTTGGTGGCAGCGCAGTTGTTGAGGTGTTGTCTGGGGGCAATGCGCTTGGGCACGAAAACAGGCTCAGTGCCTCGCTGTTGAGGCCCAGCACCCCATTTGGCACCCTTGTTGACCAACGATTGGATCAAGCATTTCTTGATGACACCCCATTTCTCATCACTAGAATGGACTTGGTTGTAATCACCTTGAAAGGAATCCCAACACGAAGGTTCATCGGGGTCCCATTTGGCAGGCTCAAGGGTTTGCGGGTCAAACGGAGCACTTTTACGATGAACAAACCCGATCTGGTTGAGGGTTCCCCAACGAAAAACCAGTTTGATGGCTGTGCTGTCTGCCCACAACTGGCACAACATCAACCGACTCAAGCGCGGCGAAAGCAATGTGGTTGACAAGAACAGCATCAATAGAAGAGGTGGCATCTTCAGCTCCAGAAAACGACCCGTCCCGCGAGAAGTAAACGGCCTAGTGGAGAACCCATCAGAATCAACGCAGGCAATAGGGTCATGCCAATTTTGAAAGGTGATAGCATTGGCTTGTGGGGTCAGCCTGCAAATCACCTGCTATAACGACTGGGATCTGACCAAACTGCGAAGTGAAGTCAAGAATGTCAGTGAACATGGCATCGT